ATGGCAAAGCACAGACATTACAGCACGTTACAGAGGAAAAATGCATTCACGACTGGAATTATTAATAAACATTTGTGTCAAAAGACGAAATAAAAATTCGTGATCTCAACGTATTTATCTCATATCGTTAAATACTTCTGTAAGAGATCCGCTAAAATTTTGACTGGGAATTACGTATTCCATATCCTTACACCTTACCTCTTTTCTCAACATTCTTTATCACTTCTATACCTTATATCCAATAAAAGTAATTCTAAAAGCTGCCTAACGGTAGCAACACTTGTAAAATATAGCGCAATTACCGAGAATTTGATAGCGTATGAGTTACACGTACAAACAACCACAAAACAGCATCTTAATACAGACAACATATAAACATTAATATCGATTACCTATTCGAAGTTATGGTACCAACCACACGTACGTCTAGCCGTCTAGACGCGAGAGGATGCAAACTAGCCATATCAGAAATGTCTGAATTTTATGCTAATAACTGCAAAGGGCTGAAATTCCTAGAAAAATTCACAGTCAAAGAAGGCTACTTTGGTATTTCCGAGGTTCATTCATGCTGGTGAGATCTGAGACTCTCACGAGGGTGACAACGAAGATGGCTGTTTTGTGGGATGTTGACAGACTATAAGCTAAAGGGGCCTTTTGGTTCACTAAAATGTGGTGAATTTGGTTGGTTCAGTAACTATAAGATTCTCGACAAAGACGCTGCTTCATGGAATTACTTCGTTCAAGACTTTGAGACATAAATATTTCCGTGGTCTATACTAGACATCAACAATTTTTTAAAACAATTTTCAGAACCTTTGAAACAGAAGATATTAATTTGGAAGTTTAATACATAATTTAGAAGTTCCTACTGAGGGGAGGGGGGTAAATTTTGACGGCGTTAAGGGGTGGTAAATTTTGATTAATTTAAGTCGGGAGGGCTGCATGAGAAGCTTGCAGTGGCAACTTGGAACTTGGGAACCATCTCAGCATTTGCTTGAAGACAGAGGAAAACCAAGGAAAACCTGTGTCGAGATGGCTGAAACAGAAGGCGTACGTGAGTAACACCTAAAAATTCAGTCCGTACCGAGAAGAAAACACAGCAAGTCACCATTACAAAGATCAAGTGGTTAACGGTCTTAACGTTTACAAAATTTTCGGTAGAATTTTAAACTACATTTTTCAAATAATTCTATACCAAAAATTTTACCAGTAACCACCGGTTGGTTAAAAACATTACGTAAAACCAAACTCATAAAGACATGATGATGACTTCAACCCAGTTTTCTTTAGAAACTAAAGAACGAACCTGTAAAAGCAATCTCTACGTACGAAATGAAACATTTATTCCACGGGAATGGAGCAACATGGATTCTGTCTGTGTGGATAAAAATTTGTGAGCATTAATTTCGCTCGGGTTATATCGGAAGTGTCGTTTGTTTTATTAACGGGCTGCATCTTTTACCGAAAGACTAACAAACTTAAACCAGAACTCGCCTCAAGCTTGTTTGTTTTCTTTTCCTATCTCTTCATCTTTATTTACGTGAATAACAGAAATTTCGCATTGAAGATGTGTTTACGAAGATGAATCGATGATACATTATTTCTTAAAAGCATAAACTATTCAAAAACCAACGTTTCTCAGAATAAATTGTTTTTAAACAGTGAAATTCAACTGAATGTTAAAACTCCACACTATTTTCGTCTTAGAAATAATCGAATATTTACCTTTCGGGTTTTCCGAATCAAATTTCTGCAAGCATTTCTCATCGCTTCCATACGATCCACCCATCCCATTATTATTAACACCCTAATAATATTTCGCAAAGGGTAAAACTTACTAAGCTACTGGTAATTAATTATAATCCAGCCTTTTCTTCTCACATTCACAAAGACAATAGTAAGGAAATAATCTAAAATGCATTCAGCCTCATCTGTGTTGCTCCCCCCCCCCCGGGGGGTCCTACGGCACTCATAAGGCACAAAGAAAGAGATAGAAATTGTTAATTAAGCTGCAAGCAGAAGGAAATTCTAACTCTGTTTAAAATATATTAAACTGCAATTAGTTGGCGAAGAAGATGCAGAAATGCCCGGGGCAGCGTAAATTAGGTCTGTCATTTAACCAAGCGTGCATTCGAAACAATGTTTCACTTTTATTAATTACAGGACAACTTCTATTTCAAAGATAATGGATTATTAGATCATTTAACGTTACTTAATGAACCTTAGATGCCACGCTGGCCTTGTAATCCTGGAGGTCTCGGGTTCGATTCCCGGCGATGCCCGAATTTATAACTTGTGTTGGGCAAGGCCATGGTCTAGGCAACACGGAGTTTTCCTCCGTGGCATCCCAAGAATTACTCCATTCACACACAGAAGAAGGCAATGGCAAACCACTTCTGGATCATCTGCCAAGAACGTATATGAACAGGTCCCAGTCCGAGAAAAGGATGGAAGGATCCTGTTCATATGGACCTGTCGTCAGACAGAACACTAAATAATAATACAATAATGAACCTTATAATTACAAAGCGCCATGAAACGACACCACACAACAATTAATAAAATTAAAACGCTTGGACACGGTGGGAAAATTATATATATAATTTAATAAGAATATTAACATTTAAATATATAATTCAGAGATTACGTAACATTCAAATGAATAACTACAAGTGATTAATCGAGAGGAAGTGGTCGTGGATTGTTTAATCCTTTAAAGATAAATCACATTTGAATAATAACGAAAAACAAATAGCTACATTTAAAAAAAAAATACTGGATCTCTGTTACAAAGAGCAGACAGTTAATAAAATGACGGAGGCCAACGGACTCTGGCCGTATGCTTTTTCAACTTCAAAGAGACACGCGTTAAAGGGTTATCAAACAGTCCCTCGAAATCACGCTGTCTCTACTACGAGGTCCTGTTAAACGACTTGGCCATGGTGCAAAACGGGCATAACTCCAAAAAAGCCATCAAATTATACACGGCGTCAAAACCCAGAACATAAAAATCACCTTCAACGCCGTAAGAAACACAAATCTCACACACTACATGTTACTTATCCCGTTTTTGTACCGAAGTCTTTAATCTAGTTCCCCCCCTTCTAAGAATTTTACGCAGATTCTATGATAAATACACGAGAAGCCTGAAGCTGTTCCTACGAAAAGCTTGTTAAAATAAAATATACAGAACATATAACTCTCTGCATCTGCTGACACAACATTAGACATAATAAATACATAAAAAAAATACAAGGAAAAATTATTTCCGAAGTAAACGCACGGATTAAAAGTAAATGTCATATAAACATACCAAAATTTGAATCGGTTGGATCAAAGAATTTTTAAAGCTGTATATCCAAAATAGCCCTATTTAACGACAACATTTTACACTCAAGCAACACATTGAAACTTTTAATCGGCTTTATTCACATGGGATTTGTTTCATCCATATCCAGTCTTGCGGTACCAGCTGCTATTATTAAATTGTGATTTTGAAACGTGCAGGTTACTGAAAGCAGCAATAAAAAGCTAAAATACATGGGACTGGGATGATGAGACGGACGAACAACGCTGAAAATGTTGACACGAACAGCCACAGTATTGGATTTTCGTGGAATCAGAAATGTTTAGCGGCAGGCAACTCTGCCCCACACAGGAAATGTCAAACTAATATTGAAAAACTTTGGTGCGATAAAGGTATAACTCCGAAACGACGAAATCATTCTGATGGTTAACCAACTCCATAATTTCCGCATTATAACCCTTCGAAACCGAAGCTCGTCTAAATAATATTTAATAATCCAGTCCGTACCGCGAAGAAAACACAACTCTTCACCATTACAAAGATCAAATGGTTAACGCTGTTTAAGGAAATAATCGCTGTTTATAATGAGACACGCATTGCGTACATAATATTTAAGAATTCAGTCCGTACCGCGAAGAAAACACTACACTTCACCATTACAAAGATCAAATGGTTAACGCTGTTTAAGGAAATAATCGCTGTTTATAATGAGACACGCATTGCGTACATAATATTTAAGAATTCAGTCCGTACCGCGAAGAAAACACTACACTTCACCATTACAAAGATCAAATGGTTAACGCTGTTAAAGTAAATAAAATCAAAATAAAATGACGATTACAAAATGTAGAGTTAGTGATTGTTAAAACAGGTGGTACATATAATTACCACTTTGCTTTACACGGTTAAGAAACCTGCAGGTTGTTTCACAACAGCCCGCCACCGGTTCCTATCATGAATCCAAAACTGTTCCCTTAAGACCCATTTTAATTTAATCTCATACGTACGCCCAAGTTTTCCAAGTTTCGTCTTCGCCTCGAGCGTAATGACGTATAAATCCTTGTTTAATTTTCTGACACAACACAGATTATAAATGACTTAAGTGGTACTGGGAAAGTTCTTCCCATAGTTCGTCGGTTAAACCTCCTAATCACAATTAACCGTTCCTCCACACTGATCTATCACCGTCCCACAGCCCTGACCAACCAGCACATCACCATACCTCGATACTAAGTTAGGGGCTTTACCTCTGACCCGGAGCTCAGCTCGTAACTAACGTATCGGTTTAACCTGATCAGTCTTCTCAGAGTTCGATAATTTTTACCATTTAGATAGGAATATAAAAACTCTGTCAATAACTCTACTCTCATACCGTGTGTGATGCAAGAAGTCACTAATTACAATTTTTAAAGGTTTCGAGAAAGACTAGTTTAAAAGTTGTTATGGAAGTTCGATTAAACCGCACTTAACACAATATAAAACTTTGTTTATGTGGTAGAACGCCTAATACTTACTTCTTCTACACATGCTTCCAAACATTTCAATGAAACTGACAATCTAAATAAAAAACTAATACGTACCATATTTTGTTATGACAAAGCGAAAATAAAATGTCACAAACGGTGAAGTTTAGAATGGGTAGACTTCGTTTAAACACTACGCACTAAATTAAGAGAACATGGCTTGTACGTACCTTTTTAACGACATTTTTATAATGGTAGTAGTTCGGACAGCACGTGTGGCATATGAAGGACGTCACAAGACATGAACCACGAGGGAAATATGCCAGGTGTAGTCACAACAGTACATGGTGGGAGGGGGAACACAGCCATGAGCAGACACGAAACGTCACCACGACTTCTCTCCATTTTTAACACTGGTTTCTTTCCTGTGAAAGGAAACCCATCATGGATGCCATGATACGAACTGTAGCGTACACAGAATCGTACTGGATCGATCAACCTAGTACACTGTAATCCAATGTTATGTTAGCAACGCCACCATTCATAACACTGCCACAACACTTCATATCATTGTAAAAACACAATTCATAACAACTACACACAACACTCGCTGTGAAACAAGTCAAAAAAACTAACGCACTGAAATATTTCACAACGGAAACAGAACGCGATAAAAATCAATTCGCAAATGAAGTACGGTGCATCACACACACATATAAACACTCTGATGTTAGTCACAGAAACTTAACACGAGGTGTTCGTTCGATATTCAGACGTAGTAATTGCTACGGTCACAACACTGTCTTCGATAAATGGCGCTTACTAAATGTCGGGAGAGTTCGGATATCCGATCGTTGGCACTGAAAAGATGATGCAACTACGATGAAGCTGGTAGTATACAAGGAGAGATATGTTCTATGACCCCCACACCCCTTCTAATTTCGGGTGAAAAAAAATACGTCTCTACATACCACCATGAAGGGGGTAGGCGTATTGAGATGCTCCCCTGTTCCAAGGAAAACCTTGGATATGATGAAAATCAGAGAGTAGCAAAACTTATTGAAATTGCCGGTAGATGGAACTACTATACTGAGAGAAAGTGAAATAAAAAGGGTGGGGGTAAAAATGGAGGGGGGGATCCATTCTCCCCTCCCGCACACATACGTATAGGGACTATTTTTTTAATCAATCAGCTGCATAACCCCCATTTTAATTTTACTCGTCCTCTCTTCTGCAATGATCCTACAATATTTTCTACGGTAGGTACCCCTACAATCGCTGAAACGTCACGTTGATATATTCCGGTGTGATTGTAGTACACCAGGCAATACTAGTGGAATTTACAACTCGTGCATTTACCCCACTTACAGTCACTCCAATTATTCATTCATTCATTCATTATTACTCGCCAGCCCACACACTTACTCCTATAAACCACTATCCGTTCACTACCGCGTCACATGTATATGTTCACTTTGTTATACCAACGTATTCATTGGAACTCATCCACCATTTTTTTTTCTTGTTTCGTTATGGTAAGACTGCAAGCCGCATCCTTAATGTCTCATATACTAGCAGAGATATTACTTTAAAACATCCACAATTTCGACAACTTTTCTCGATACAATATACTAACTTGTATCGACTTAAACATGAAACTTGAGAAAAATTATCGATTTTATCTTATAGGGCGACAGTTCAAAAAATTATTTAATTCGTAATCTGTTTCAACTGGAAATATATCACATAGACAAGTTCCATCAAATATCCATAGTATTACTGACCTCTGACAAATAAATAAAAATTTCTTATATGTTGATGATTGGGCATTTAAAACCCAGTCACTTCATTCGTTATAAATGTAGAAGTCCAAGAACTCAATAAATCTATACAGTAAAAAAAAAAATAATAATAAAAAATTCAAGGAATCGATTATCATATGTACACCCCCTATACGTTCTGCTGGGGTATGTCAATCACAAAATGTATGCAGCAATAACATTAACGCAGAAATTCACATTATTTGTCCAAAATGTCTACTACATGATGGCAGTTAAAATTTGATCCACAGTTTTTACATTTATTTTAAATTTCCAGTGGCTGTGGACCCATCCTAAGTATCCTACAGGGACAGGGCAAATATGTGCTGGAGTTTGCCCAATACGAAAACGTCGAGACAATTTGGCACAGCATGATCAAAATTCCAGGTCAAATTTGAAAACACCCTGTATGTGTCACATTATACCATAGAATTATCCACTCTACTGCGTCATTTAATTTGCAGGTGCCTGAGTTAATTACATATTCAACATCTGAGAAGAAAATAAAGTGAAAACGAGACATAACCACAGATAGGATAATATTAAAAATGCTGTTTATTTGGTAAACCAAATTAAATCCAATATAGTATGTAAGTAAAATGTCATTGCTGAAAATTGAAGTACTTACCACTGGTGTAGTCAAATTCACGGAAATTATATTGAAGAAGTGCCTTCAAGAGTCCATGAAGTTTTGTCTGCGTCATTCTCCTGTGTATACCACTTTAACCACTAATAAATGAAAAATTAATTGGTAACTTAAGTCCTTATAGATTAAATGGACTTCGGTGTGATTTTTTATTGTTTTAAAGTGTAATAAAAGGGCTTTAAAATAATGTTGAAAATAAATATCTTATTTTCTGATAAATGACTCTCATTAACTACAGTGAAAAGTTGTATTCAAAATGCATTTTTTGTACTTTTAGATGTCTTTTACCTTGACGTTTATTTCCAGTACAAATTTTGACGCCTGATAAAATCTTTCTCCGTCATGACATTACGTGTAAATTCACTGATTTAAATAATGTACATATCTGTAAAACAAGTTTAATTCCCTTACTTGAACAGTCTGCTGTAAATATCTCTTGGTTACCCAAGTTCCACTGACATTCCAATTTTCAAACTAGTTAAAATTAGCGAGATTTGAAGTTCTCAGGATGAAAATGTCGGTTCTGGGTTGTGATGCCATCTACACACAAAAGCAGATACTAACATTTTAGAGAAACACGAAGTCTCCAGCCCTGAAGACAGTGAACATTTCTCTTTTAATAATAAAAAAGGGGTATCTTATTACAAGTCTATGAAGTATAACAACCCAGAAGATCATCGTTTGTCGAAGTAATTTCTGGTTCCATGCAGTGATTTACCTGTACTACAGTTAACTTTCAAACAGTAGACTGTTTCTGTCATAAAAGGGCATTAAGGCTATCGAAACATGCAATATCACGAGACTCGAGATTTCAGCTTATCACGGCAGTGAGCATAAAGATGGCTGTCTTCTGGGTTGTGGTGTTGTATCTGATAGATACTTCCGCCTACGTCATCAGCGTGACGGTACTCCCAGAAGACAGCCATCTTCGTACTTACCGATATGAGAACCTAAAATGTCAATGATGATAAAGAAGGTATAAGTCCAGAATTTACTTGGAGTAACTGTGGAAAACTTTGAATCACTACATTCAAATCTTTTGAGGTTAGGTTTCAAATGTGTCCAAGGTTCTATTCACATTTGATATGAAACTAAGGAAAATGTGGAGATGGGGGCAAGCGATGACTTACCGTTCCTACAGGTTCCAAAGGATACGCTGGAATCAAAGGATGGCCTATATGGTCCACGCCTCACTCAAAAAGTGAACTGAATGGCGCACGTTAATAATACGGATAAAGTAGCTGCTATCAATATGGCAAGACAAAGCTTGTCAGTTTTACGACGACCACCTTTCATGAAACAAAAATCTAGGGCTTCTGTTCAAATCAGGGTAGCAAAGAGTGACAAGAACATTGCATTTCAGCTACTGTGCCAGCTTGATTTCTGCTCTTAATTCTGAAGCCTTACAAAGTGTCAGTAGTACACGTGAGAGCAGGTATTCAGCGCAACACACAATTTGCTCTACAGCTACTCTAATATTAAAAGTATACCAGAGACAAGTACTTTGAAGGAAGCTAGCAATTCAACAGAACATTCAAAAACTTATTTGACAGAGTTTGTGTGAAGGAAGGGCCAAAATGAGGCAATAAAACGTGGAGGAAACAAGAAAAGCTAAAAAGTGAAGACCTAGCAAAGCATATGAGCTCTTAAAATAATGATGTGACTAAGAGAGGGGAACATGTTTTTAATCATAAACATAATACAATTAATTAACTTTTATCATATGAGAACATGTGATTTAAGTCGTAGTATTATGGGGCTGCCACACACGAACGCCGCTTAGCGGTAAGCTATTTCGACGCACAGCGAACTGGATGGCACGATACACAGCTAATAAAGGTTAAAAGATATTAACAAAACAAAAGGGAAGTGAAATCCCTGCAAAGATAAATAATAAACAAGAAAAATAAACTTGCAAACATCTTCGTACGTGGATTTGGAATTTTAAGAGCTCATTTTCTCCAGCTATCTACACTTTGTGTAGCGTTATATATTTTGTACCCCAACACAAAAACTATTCTATGATTAATACAACTGTGGTTACAATATTTCTATCTACACTGACACCTCACACATTGGGGCCCAAAATTTACAACACATTCACATCCGGGTAGTGTAAATTTCAAGGATCTGTGCACAAGTCCTCCCTTCCGAAGCAACGCATAGCTTTTTTTTTTTCAAACTGTATTTTAGGGAGGTGTTTAATTACAATCAAATACACACAATTGTAAGTGATACATTTAAGATAGTAAGGAATATATAGCAACTATTTTTCATTTCAAAATACAGAAGGCTTAAGTAAATAGATGTACTGTTACTGTTTTAAACAGGAAAAATAAGAATTACTTGTTATTTTTTTTCTAGCAGTGCAAACAGTGAGAGAGAGAGAGGAAATGAAAACACAGTTATTAACGAAGATCATCCAAAACTCAGCGACAAAGTAACAGTAAGAGATGAAGAAGGCATGCACACTTTCTCCGAAACTTCCTGCTATGAAACATTGGCTCAACTTTTCTTCTTCCGCTCACTTTTCACTATGTTTCCGAGATGCGCGTTCGTTCCCTGAAACGCAACTGCTCGAAGAAAAACATAAAACAGCAGGAAATATGTCGATAAATATCAATTTCTTGCTGTTTTTATGTAAATTCGAGCGGTGAAATGGTTAAATAAAAGTGTCTATAAAAATTTCCATCACTTGTCACATGTCCCCTGTCCAATACCAATAAAGAGTTCTGCTTTTGGGGGGCGGAGGGGGAACAAGCCCTCAAGTTTTTGAACAACAGAATAAATCACATAACCTATAATTATTTTTAGACATTTATCGAGACAAAGCTTTCTCAATTAATGTGCAACTAAGTGAAAGAAGCGGAAAAAGAAAGTAACACGACATGGCAATTAAGCTAAACTACTCAACACTATCAACTAATAACATATTGTACCATATTTATTATGTGCCTTCACAAAAAAAATTATGCAGGCATCTTTGTTCCGATTGATAAAACAAATCTGTACGATTAACAGTAATGGTACAATACGGTAAGCAGTAAATATACATATATTAATTAAACTAATATTTAACTACGCTTTCTAATCTAGCGCATCTGTATGCCATACACACTTCCTCTACAGAGTTTGTACGGAAACATTTGTGTCACAAAGACACGAATTAAAGGGTGAAAATAAA